TTGTATGTTATAATGGCATATATATATATATATATATACCTAGATATCTTCACGCTTAGCTGGGATTTTTGAATTTTCTGAAAAACTGGTATTAGACCCCAAGATATATATTAGCTTGTATTCTGGGCCAGCGTCCACTGCTCATCAGTATGTTCTTTGGCGGCGACCACTCAGCCAATGGGTCGTCAAAAGTGATTGCTTATAACTGTTACATTTTATTTCTTTTCGAAAAGTCATTGCGTATAAATGAATGCTATGTCCTTTGCAGATCGGAAATTTGTTGCCCGGAGACCACCAGAAGACAGTCAAAATCTGATTCTCAGTCAAATGTGCTCTTGTCGAACTAGTTGCCGTTCCATTCGCTGCTCGTGCGTGAAAGCAGCAAGAAGTTGCAGCTCAACATGTCAATGCTCCAACTGTAACAATCCATTGAATGTGCTCGAAACAATAGGACTGGACATTTATATTTCCCTCAACGACAACTGTCTGTTTCAAAATATATACCAAGTAAGAGTAAATAGATTGAACACACTAGCTTCAACCATTATTAATACACTGCTGGACTCGTAATCCAAATGCTTTACTGGTTCTTAAAAGAAGTAAGTTAACTTACTTCTTTATTAAATCCAATAATTAATTTTAAATCCAATAATTATTGGATTGCCTCTAAGAACCAGTTGTGTTTCAGGCGTCGTATGCTCTGCCAGTATTATAAAAAAAAGTTATCCATTTTTTATTTAAAGAGTAATATTAAAGTAAATGTACAGTGCGCCTAAAAAAAAAACAGACCATCCTGAACAACTGATCCAATAATCGGATCTTCATGTTCTAGGACTCATTCTTAATCATTCTTAGAGGTGACCTAAAATATGCTGGTTATTTAGTGCAGACGATATTTTAAGTTACGAAATCAGACACAGAAACGTATTTTGTCTAAATAAAGATACCTTTTTTTTTCAACGGATACGAATTTCCGATCTCCAAAATATAGGGGGCTGCGCAGCAATTAGGAGAGAGAGAGTTTAAGAACTCTTTTATGTTAATTTTACTCTTTGAGTATTTCGTCACATCTCAAATACTTTTTAAGCGAATAGAAAAATTTTGGCACACAATTATACAATTCGTTGACCTAAAGATAATTCCATGTAAAAACTAAATTTTAGTAAATATTTATTATTTTTCATTAAATAATAGTAGAAAAATTTTGAATTGTAAGGTATTCAAATTTTTACAACATTTTAAAGTATGTAATATTAAGTTGCAAAATATAAAATTTGAGTGAAATCGGTTGAATAGTTCCTGAGAAGTCGAATTTCATAAAAGTCGTATATTTATTATTGTATGGAATTATCTTCAAGTAACCAAATTGTATAATTGCGCAAAAAAAAAAATCGATTTGCTTAAAAAGTTTTTGAGATTCCAGATTGCGGCAACCCCTTATATTTTGAGGATTGGAAATTCGAAACCTTTGGAAAAAAAAAGGTGTGTTTATTCAGAGAAAGCACGTTTTTGTGTCTTATTTCGCACTTTAAAATATCGTCTTCCTTAAGTAATCAGCATATTTAAGGTTAGCCCCTCGAACCATTAAGAATGAGTCCTAGAACGCAAAGATCCGATCATTAGATTAAAAGTTGATTTGAATGGTTTGTTTTTTGACGCACTGTACACATGCTGCATAATGACATAAGTCTAGAACCACATTGTTAACATTGGTACGGCTGCTGCTACGGTTTTAAAATTGATGTCTATAGACACGGAAAAGTGGCTATGCGCAACTACTGTTCATATTTTGAGAGTCTATTGTCTGACTTATTAACTGTAGTTGATAGGTAAAGTCAATTCTTTTGTATCTTCAAAATGTACCATTTACACCTTACTATGAAAAAATGCAATCATTGAATTAATATATACGTTTTTTTCCTTGACAGTATAGCCCAAACTAAATTTTCGTCGGGTATCCTTCTTAAGAAGGTAAATATTACCTAAAAATGTATTAGCAGGTAAAATATAGGTATTAAGTAAACGTAACTAAAATCAGAAAATAAGTAAAGGTATTAAGTAAACATGTTAAGAACAATTTAAAATTGCAGCGTTCAGTAAAGGAATCTGACCTGCATATGAAATAGATTTTTAAATATACATATTATTTATAATTTAAAAACCTACGGGGAAAGTAAGAATTTCTTGCACACAATTATAGAACAATATATACAGAAAGTTGGTTTTAGCTAAGAACTTTTATTTCATATTAATCTGTCTAATTTTGAAATTTATAAATTAAGAATTTCAGAAAAAAAAATCGAAAATGTTTTTTTTATTTATCTTATAGTTTAAAAATTGAATTGTGCATTTTGAAAAAAATATTTTTTTAAGTTAGCGCATAATAACTAAATTTGCAACAGCCTCAAGTACATTTAATTATCTAATAAACTCAAATGATTTTAAAGATTCCAGATCTATCAAATTATCTTGCAAGAGAAGTGAGACTTGATTGTTGCAATTGTCTTGCTCGCATCCAGGATTGCATTCCAGGGACTGTTCTATGCCCCAATACCAACTGTAACGCCGCCCTCCAATATTCCTGGTGCCAGAAGATGGTCAGCTACCCAGAGAGCAACCCAAGAAATCATTGTTCCCTCTGTGCTCAGTGCCGCTTCTCCAATGGACGACATTGTTATGTAAGTTCATTATTTATTTTCCGCCCCACATCACTCCAAAAATAAACAACGGTAAAAAAAATCAATTAAAGAAATGCTTTGTTGCAATCATCTTTGGAAAAAAATATTTATTCTCACTAAAACTTGTAACAAAGTTTTCAACGCATGTCGCTGCTAACTAAGCGTTGTCTGTTGCCTGCTTTTCCAATTGAAATTTTTGTACCAGTATGTATATAGTTATTTGTACAAGATGCAAATTAGTAGTTATTTTGAAAACATTGTTTTCGCAGTTTGCAACTGCTGATTTCGTAATTAGTTTTTGATGAGAACACTTTCCTTAGCAGAATGAAATTATTCTTTGTCTTTAAATGATTTTTCAGTCCTTTATGAGACATCCTGCATCTAGGCACACGAACTACTATTATGGGACTACCTAACACGTATGAGCTTGAATTAGGTGAAGATAACAGGGGGAGAAATTACTTTTTATCTAATAATCAGATTTTTCCGATTCAACGGTTTAAAGGGGTGGCCCCAAATATGCTAATTAATTAATGAAGGGGATATTTTGAGTCTTGAAATCAGCCATAAAAGTATACTTTTTCTGAATAAACATAACTTTTTATCACCCATATGATTTCTTACCCCTAATATATAGGGGGTAGCCGCACTCTGGGAAATATGGTCTCATAAGTTCAGACTGAAGGGAGGTTGAAAATTTGGATAATTTAATGTTATGTCATTTTATTTTTATTTTATAATCGTCGTTGAACAGCCGACCCAAGTTCATGGGTTTACGACTACTAACGTTCAACTCCGTAGCCTTGTAATTTTGAACCAATCCAGAAGACAAGGAAACTCCTGGATCAGTACCCCCAGAGGTATTGATTTGTTGTGGGAACATGGAGGACTTTGAGACTCGACAGATTTACCGTGCATCAGTCACCATTTACTACACGGGGAGTCTTCGGCCGGCGAGGATCGAACCCATGACCTCTTGGATATGGGCCCAGAGCCCTACCAACCAGGCTATCCCAGCCCTATGTCATTTTATTGCACCTTTCGCCATCCTAAAGAAATCGTATTTAACTTTTATTTCTCTAAAACTAATTAGTTAGTGCAGACGATATTTTAAATTACGCAATCAGAGAAAAAAAAAGTCGTTGCGTAATCCGCGGGGATGTATTATTTCCGCCTAATTAACTATGCAACCCACGTTTTTCCCGTTCATGGTTTCATTTCGACTTATCTGTGATGTTTAATTGTTTGTTCAAATCTGGGATAACAGATGATCCTAGTTGGCTATGTTTCTGCGAAATTTGCAACACTTACCGCGTGTGTGCTGTTTGTTGCTTTAAAAAAAAAATTGCTACGATAAAAAAATTGCAACAACAACAAATTGCTACAAAGCTCATATTTGGTGCTAAGGTTGCGAGGTAGGACTTTGCCTTGAGCTCTGTTTTGAAGTTTATCATATTAAACTTCCTTTCTAATAAATGTAAACTTCTGTATAATTTCATTACTATGCAAGTTTTACCTTTGGATTTCCCAAAATAAATCATATTTTAACTAAGTTTAATTATCGACATTTTGCTTTCATATGAATGTTCTAATAATAATGTTCTTTTCTAACAACCTTTCTGACGAACTTATTCTATATTAAATAGAAAACACTACAAAAAATTTTGAACATTTTAACTCTAAAATGTATGTAGATTTAATCTATATTATAAAGAAAAATACACAATTTGTAAACCTATAGCGGTGTGAAAACGAAAAAAAAATAATAAAAATACGCGGCGTGAGGGTTAGCATACTTTTTACAGTAAAATGCGAATACAAATTTGTCTTATGTTTCCTAATAAGAGGATCAGATAATGCTATTGTTCCAAGGAATCATCTCAATAATTTTGTTAATCGCAGAATTAAATTTGATAAAATTAAATTTGATTTAATTGCTTGAAAGATAAAAAGATGAACACAATTTAACTATATTTATTTACACTTATTCCATTAATTTGTTGATTGCGACAGTAAGGATAAGATGTATTGGAAGCCCCGTTTACTATTACACTGTGAATGCGTTAAATGATATGTTTGAAGCAAAAAAGAAATAAACAAAAGGAAGTAAAAATTAACTCCATCGAAGTACGCCTAAAATATACCCTAGAACTGAGGTCCCCAACCCTATGCCTCCGGCACCATGGCGCCCTTCGATCGGTTTAGGTGCGCCCGTTGCTTGTGCCCAACGATAAAATACTTCAGTTTTCCATTTTCCCATAAAATGTTATGCAATATTTTTTACTTTTTCAACATGGATGATAAACACAACCAAAATAGAAATCGCCATCCCCACAGATATAAGCACAGAGCAAAATATAGCCGACCACTCGCGAATTGCATATATGAACTCACACTTTGTATGTTTTGCAAGCAATTTCGTAATAATTTATTTTACTCAAGGATATTAATTATATTCATATGTTAAATTAATTTTTAAAATTAAATTTTTTGTGCATTATATGCAGTATGTATTATTTCCTATGTCTACCAACTATAAATTTATCTTGAAAAAATAAATGGTGCCCGACATTCGACCGATATTCTGGTATTTGCTCTTTGGTACAAAAAGGTTGGGGACCCCTGCCCTAGAATATATCAAAAATAAATTGAAACATATTCAATCTAAATATATTCAATATATATCTAATGGCCTTTGTAATATCATACGTAATTACATAGCTTAGAGTTATCATACGTAAAACTTATTTTAATATCGCGCGAAGTAATTTTGTTGTATTACTAAATGAATAATCCAAAGAAACTGGAGCGAAAAGATGAAAACTTCATTGACTTAAAAAAATATGAAGATGATAATAAAAGTGGACACGTTTAAAGCGTTCAAAAATTCAGTGTTAGCGAATCTTGAGAATGATCGCCTATTTTTGAGCGCTCGAAACATGTTTGCGTTTATTTCCATCTTCACATATTTTTAAACCAATGAACTTTTTACAATCAATTACACTATGCTACTTTTAGGTCTTGATCGTTATTTTAATAAGAATTTTAGACTTGTGGAAGTAAACATCTGTATTTTAGCAAGATCATGCGGCCCTAAAAAAATTTTAAAAAAAAATGGTAGCATCAATAATAATTATGAAGGTATCTTTAATTTTAAAGTTAAAATTTTGAAATCAGATATTTAGAGTTTAGAACGAAGAATTTAAGGATCTTACAAACTGTGATTTAAAGGAGAATATCATATCAGATACATGCAGTGTATCAGATAATCAGATTATGGTGAATTTGCGAAATTAAGTTTCAGAATGTATAAAAACATAATGATGCTATTTAAAAATCATCTTTCTGCAACGAAAACCATGTAACTTAAGTTATGAAAAAGAAAGCGAGTTTTCAGACAATGAATCATACAATATCCAATATATTATTCTTAAACATTTTACATAAATATTACATATCTCTATGTTTTTAAAATGCCACTTAACATTTACCAATTTCTCCAGTTATAGAAAAAGAAATATCGTGAATTATATAAAAACTTGTGAAAGTGCATTATCCCGGCGAGTTCGATCCCGTCGATGGCTGGTCGATACGAATTCCGCATCCGGCTAGCACCGACCACAGTGCTGACGTGAAATATCCTCAGTCGTAGACGGATCAGAGTTTAGAGTCCCCTTGCCGTCAGGCTGACCGTGGGAGGTTCTCGCGGTCTTCCTCTCCATGTACCGCAAATGAGGGTTAGCTCCAACAAAAAGTACTCCACGAAGGCAAATTTCTTCTAATACTCGAACCAGGAGTTCCCTTGTCTTCTGGATTGGGTTCAAAAGGACAAGGCTACGGAGTTGAACATTAGTAATCGTAAACCCAAAAATTGGGTCGGCTGTTCAACGACGGTTATAAAATAAAAAAAAAATTATAAAATGTCTTCAAACACACTAAAAAAAAGATTTCAGGGACTTTTTTTTTCGTTCATTCAACTTTCTTGCCTTGAAGACTCTACCAAACGTATAAAAATGATTTGCCTTGCAATTCTGTATAAAATTATAATAAGTTACGTAAATTTAATTTTGGTTTGAAATGAAGTAAAATTCACGTGTTGAAATTCTAAAATTTTGGTATATCATAACTTATTATTCGATTCAAATTTTGTTTTTAAAGCAGTTTAAAAACAAAATATATTTTCCTTTTTGGTCAGCCCAAAAATTGTCTATTGCCTTGTTAATAAATAAACCTTTCCGAGAGATCGGAAACGGTGAATGAAAAACATTCCATTTTTTTAAAAAATATCAACTTGGTTGCTTAGCAACGGAGGTAATGCTCTCTTGAATTAGTTTACGACTATTTTAAATTCCTCCTCTGCAGTGGGAGCTCGGCCATTTTTGGGAATATCGTCAAACATATATACTCACCTAGACCCTAATTTATGAACCTATGTTGAGAGTTGGGATTCCAAATATGCTAATAGATACATATATATGTATATGTTTATTCAGAGAAAGTGCGTTTTTATCTCTGTTTTCGTAACTCAATCAGCACTAATTAATTTAAAAATTTAACGTCATATTTATTTCCCTTGAACCGTTAAGATTGATACTTTGTTGATGAAAATTCGATTCTTAGAATAAAAATTAGTCAGGGTGATGTTTTTTTTCTTCTTGAGCACTGTACACGTTATAGGGCTGCTGAAAAAGTTTACATTTGTAATACTTGTCATGGCAATGGGGTTTATTTTCATCCGTCTCTATAGCGAATAACACTGAAAAGTAGACTCTTCACATTTGGTATTATTGTATGTATTTTTGTACCGCAGTGGACAGATCATAAGACACCGTCCCAAATCAGATCAAAGTCAAGAATCGCTGGTATAGATTAGTAAGAGGATGGGCGTTCTACCGTAAAGTGTTTGACTTAGCGATTAGGTCGTTGGGCTACCATAGCGGGATGCCGTTCCCTCAGCAGAATTGAGATGTCCTCTCACTCAGCAGGTAAAATAAATAAAATATTGTCTAATTTCAGGTATGCAAGAAATGTTATGCCGTCACCTCCAAATCGAACAAATGTCCCACCTGCTTGAGAGAAAATTCGACACTTCGACAACTCCCAAGGAGAAGTCTAAACACATTTTGTTCTGATAAAACACTTACGTCCACATCTTCCCAACCTCAAATTGTTGTCCTCAATGCATCATCTTCCGTGCTAACAAAGCCTCCAGAAGAGATCAATAAAATGAATTCTTGATGTTATCTTAATTGAAATTTTGTGTCTTTTTCTTCTTCTTCTTATGCTAATGAATTGCGAATGTTTGATAAAAATGAAAAAAGATGTGTTTTTCTCAAAATTGCAGAAGATTTTGAGTTTTGACCCATCAAAAGCCGGNGAATTTTTTTTTTTTTGAAAAAAAAAAAAAAAAAAGTTATGATTGCGTCTTATTACGATCACTGATTACCCATTGATCAAATGCTTTTTCTTTCTGGATTGTCACCGTTAAACATTTCAAATCATGGGTTGCAAAAACTGCCTTCATTGATGTTTGTCGTCGGATTGACTTTTCATATCCTGCGTGTTTCACAAAATACTGTTCTTTATTCAGCATTCATATTTATATTGAAATCACCGTCAAGACAGTCATTATACGTTAATAATAAAAAGAATATAAAAATACTTTAAATTATTATTAATTTGTTTGTTTTGTTCATTTACGTCGCACTGGAACTGCACCATGGGCTATTGGCGACGGTTTGAGAAACATCCCAGAGGATGATCCGAAGACCTGCCATCACAATTTTGACCCTCCGTGGAGGGGATGGCACTCCCGCTTCGGTAGCCCGGCGATCTGCACACGAAGTCGAGCACTTTACAGTAGAACAGTTTAACGAGGACCAATACTGCACACCCTCTGTCCCTAAGCAGACTGATCCAAGTGATCACCCATCCGCACACTGACAGTGATGCTTGACTTCGGTGATCTGCTGGGAACCATGTCTTAACGATCAGTCCACTGCGGGACTATTATTACGTAAATACATTAAAAATGCTAAAGAAAAGAAAAACAGCAGCGGTCGTTTTTAGCAACGCATGCGCACTGTTTACTATTACTCTTGAACACAGTTGAAAAGTGTGTGGACGCCATCCAACCCAAAACAAGACCCATTTTGTCAATGGGTAAAAACTAATTTAATTTTCATCAAAAATTCTTAAAAAAAAAGTAAATTAACAAACAGAAAAAAATATTACCAGTATTTAAACTAGGGGTGCACAACTTGCGGTCCACAGACTGTTGATGCAGAGTTGCCAACTTGTTCCGGACAGCAAATATATATTTTAAAGTGGTAGTTTATCAATTGTGATTCTTGGTTTCATAAATTCAATTTAGTAGATTTTTATGAACCACTATTTCTAAATAATTCGTAGGCTTATATCATTCTCCATTTTATAATACTTAAGTCATGCTATACCTTTTAAAAGCAATAAAAAATAGTATGTGCGAAATTTACTTTGTAGTTGCTTATCGTTTTTTAAAATTATTTCGGCTTGTCCGGAGCAGTTGGCATCTCTGTTGATGTGCAGCCCGTGGAAGCTTCTAAAAGCAAAAATTTAAAAAAAAATAAATAAAAAAAACTGAAGAATTTTGAATTGCACATTTGAGTTATCACTTTTTAATGTGGTCAATTTGCACAGACTTTACAGTAAATCTATGTTGTTTCCTGATACCTTTTCAATGATTAATGCTATGAAATTCCGCATGGTTTTAAAAAATCTGATATTTTTAATACGATGTACGAATTTGAGTAGTTACTTTTCAACATGCTCTATTTTTGCCAATCCAAATACCGAATCTATGTCTTTTTAAAATTCTGATTTTTATTATGACATGCGAATATTTTAAAATACTTACGATGCGCTTTATTTATGCTGATTTTATCGTAAACTTACAAATTTTTTTTCCGCCAGGACCACGAAACATTATCGCAATAAAGGGAGTTATTGTTGTATAGGATATCGTAGTAGCGAGAGTTTACTGTATATGATTCTAAATACGAAATTCCTGTTAACGCTCAGCTACTTATGACTACTGGTTCTAAGTAGATACACACTTTTATTAAATTTTAATCCAATATTTGGAACTACACTTAATGGTTTAATGGCCTAATCTAAAGTATGTTTACTAATTATAGTGCAGACATTATTTTAAGTTAGAAAATCAGACACAAAAACATATTTTCTCTGAATAAATACACTTCTTATCGGACAGATTCAGATTACTGACTTTGGAATATGCTGCAATCTAGAAAATTTGGTTCCAATAGTTTGATCAGAAGAAAATTTGGAACTCTTAATATTAATTTTATTTCTTGCATATTTTGTCATATAATAAGAGCTTTCCACATTTATAAAATTTATTTATTCAAAGAATTGCAAAAACTAATTTTTAATATATATTTATTTAATAACAGCCAAACAAATTAGAATAGTAAGGCATACAAATCTTTTTCATCATTTTAAAGAATATAATTATATATATAATTTTAAATAGCAAAATAAAAAATTCAAAATCAAAATTGAATAGTTTAAATTTTTAATTTAAACTATATATTTAAAATTCTATTCAATAATGTGAACATTTAAAAATGAACATAAAAATACTACGCATTATGATCAATTGTAGTTTGATTTATTTATATTTTATGAATAAATTATAAATAAAAATAATAAATATTTTGTATAAAATGTTACGAGAACTTTGTTCAAGACAATATTGGAAAATTGTTTGGTGCTTTATTGAGCAACTTGCTCACAAAAATGAGCTGATGTGTAAAAATGTTGCTTGAGTTTCACTCCCGGCAAGACATTTCATTGGGCACATATTTTTTGAAATATTTTATCTGCATGGAGTGGAAATGGCAGTTCTCCATAGCTGTTCCATATTCGATATTCCGTAGACTGCACGCTTCTCTCTGAAAAAAAAAAAAGCTTAAATCAAATAGTGATCGAGACAATGAAAAACAAAATGCAAAATTCATAAGTAATTGTAGTGTATATATATATATATATATATACACACACACCACTACACTACAAAAATACAATTCCAATTCCCTAGTATATAAGAGATGTTAACTCCCTTCTAAGTTGGGGTACCTTTTGATAGATAAAGGTTGACATTGTCTATAACAACTCTCCCCACAGTAATAATACAATAATAAAAGTAATAAAAAGTAAAAATAAAATACAATAAAAATTTTTATACATTAACTGGACAGTCCTTCAAGTAAAAAAAATCCTAGGATTAAAAATCTTAATTCGTATCTGTATTAAATTAAATGAATAAAAGGGAGATGGAAATTGAGAGGTGATAAAGCTTTGTGGATGTTAACTGCTTGCAACATTAAAATATATAATAAGTAAATGATCCCCAAGTCAAGTTCAAAGAATATGGTATTGACCTATAAATTAAACAGCGTAAAAAAACCATTGACTTGCTAGTAAGACAACGGCGATTCACCCGCAACGAAATAAAGGAAAGAAATAAAATTTTTCTTTTGCTATTAGGGAAAATTTTTTTGAAATGTTTAGTTGGACCCCATGATCAGAAAAAATTTCAGAAGACTGAAAATAAAACCTGAAATTGAGAATCTTTTGCAAAATGAAAGAGAGTTGCAAATAAGAGGGCAAAAATCTTTCTCACCGAATCCAGCTCAGTATATGCACATGCAGAATCCAAGGTTGGTAAGTTTCTTCAGAGGTGGCAAGAACCACCGGTAGAAACCGGTTAAAACTGGCATGGCAGAAGCCCTTTTCTGCCAGAAATTCAGAAAATGACATAAAAGTAAGTACTGAGATTGACATACAATGGGTAATTTATAGGAAAAACAATTAAATGTTAAACAAAGGACAATTTATTTACAAAATTATCACCATTCAAAATCAAATACTACATCGTTTGCACTCTGCAGTAATCTATAACAAAAGACAAGTTTTGATGCAGTTTCTAAACCTAAACAATTTCTCAATTTGCTATGCACAAACGAGAAATTTAATAAGATTCTCCCATGCCCAGCAGAACTAGCAGGCATTGCCATCAAGGAACAAGCAAGATTTGAGAAACTTGCATCGATCGCATATTTTTTAAAACTGGGCCACCATGTAGCAGCTGGGGTAGTTGTCAAAACTTGACTGGAAAAATAAGTTTCAGGAAATGGGGCCGATTTGTTTCGCAAAGCCATGACATAAGGTGCAAAATCTGGGTAAATATTGGCGAGTAAAATTCTGGCACTTTCTTCTTGAGCACATGATAATTTCAATCCCAAATACTTTGGATACAGCATATAAGCTAGCAAATGATAATCAGTAACTGCCTGTTTAAATCTGTATGTAAACAAAATTTCATTAAGCAATTACTAGAAGTAATAAAGAATTTTTTTTTAGTTTCTGCGAGTTTTTACTGGTTATAACCAGTTTCTGCCAGCAAAAAGTCAACCCTGGCGGAATCACAATATTTTATCAAACAAGTAAATTTATTGGCGTATTCATACCCTACAGACTGAAGGTGCGCTAAAATGGATTGGGGTTGAATGAATCGAGAAAATATCGACTGAAACACTGGAAAAACCAGAACCTTTGCGTAATTCGTAACTAAAACCAACATAGTAGAGAAGGAAAAGAATCTTATTTTGGAAAAGGGAAAGTTAAGCACTTTTTAAAAATACCCAATGCAAAAAACTTTCAGGGCTTTTAAAAACAAAAAATCAAAAATAAGCACTTTTTTGAAAAGGCTTCGCACCCTGTTTAAAACTAAAACTTTAAAAAAAAAAATAAAAAAAAAACACAGAAATTTAGATTTATACTGTTGTATCTGAAAAGATATTTTGAACTAGATATTGTGGCAAATAGATTAGCATATTCTAATATTTAATTAAGAATTTTAGAAGCCATCAAACAATTTCCAAAGCTATCCAATACCATTGATTCATTCTCAAATAAACATTCTGTACAAAGGATTTCCAAAGTAAATATTATTTAAAAAATTCCAAAGCAAATATTATTTAAACTAAATGTTCCCAGCTTAAGAAGCTGGAGTGACGTTTCTTTGACACTCATTCTGATAGACTAGTGGGAATAAGTTGCTCATGACACATTTGTAAGAAAGTGACAGCACACATACAAATTAATACTTAATAGAACCAGGGTTGCTCAGGGGATAGTGGAATGTTAAAGGAAAAGGATCATGGAACAGGTGCTATGTTATTCTGATTTTGTGACAAGTTAGTTCGACTTTAAAAATCCACCAACAAGAGGAATTCTGAAAGTATTACAATTACCAAAATATATTAACACATGCTGCAAAAGTCTATCTGCAACTATGTCATTGTTAACTTTTTAACAATACAGGGTTGCCACTCAAATCTGGAGAAAAAAAAATTTCCTGTACATATTATACAGGAACACACAATCACTGAGCGTCTGAGCTATATTTTGGCTAACTATACTAGTTTTAATTGATGGAAAAATCTTAAAAAATAAGGAACAGCTTAATCTACTTAAAACAAAGAATATTATAATAAATAAAATAGTTTAGTATAGCAGAAATATCACCCTTAAGTATCCCATAGAATGTGCTTTGAATGGTCACCACTTTTTAAAAGACGAAAATAAGAAATAAAATTCCCTGTATTTTCCCAGTTGTAAGGAGAACTCAAAATTCCCTTCATTTTTCCTGTTATTTTAGGCAGATTTTAAATTCCCTGTATTTTCCAGGTTTTCCCTATAAAGCGGCAAACCCTACAATAGCATATATGCCCTTGAGAAAGAAAAAAAATAGCCGGTATCTAACAGAAGAAAATATCCATTTAAATCTACTATTTTAGGATATATTTTAATGAATACACCAATGATTTTAGAGATAGAGTTGCCTTCATGTTGAAGTTAAATAAAAGTGAGAAAAGAATGTGTTACATTTGGTTATGTGCAGCAAACTGTCTAAAAAAATTATTATAAAAAAGATCCATTACTTCTTTTTGGCACTACAACTAAAAGTTACAGAAAGTCATACTAATATGTTTTTCCCATCATAGTCTGTCAGATGCTTGCTTTTTCAAATTAGTCACTCAATAGTTAGTTCTTAAATCTTTTTTTATGCCACCTGAGTGGCAGTAATACCACCTTTGCTTGTTGAAGGTAATGAAGAGTGCGTAACCAAATCTTTCAACAAAAAATAAGCACCTTTAAAGTACTTTTTAAGGACTCAAAAAGTATTTTTAAGCACTATATACATTAACAAAATGCAAAATAATTTTCAGAGACTTTACATCATCATGATAAAATAACTAGTTCCTGACAAAAAAATTCTTTTTGTGATTATATTAATCATTATAAAATGATCAATAGATTTTTCGGTTTGATATAAGAGGGTGGAAAATGAAGTCTGAAATCGAGAATATCTTGCAAAATGAAGCACGATGGGTGCTATCCTACGTTACGGACTGACAGTATGCTGAAATGGATTGAGGCTGAATGAACTGTGAAAACGTTGAATAGAAAACAATGTGAAAACCATGCTCCTTGCATAATACGCCACAAAAATGATATGGTAATGAAAAAAAGAAAAAAAATTCTCATTTTTGAAAAGGGAAAATTAAGCACTTTTTAAAAATACCATGTGAAAAAAGCATCTTTAAGAGCTTTTAAAAAACGAAAATCTAAAATAAGCACCTTTAAGCACTTTTTAAAAACACTACACACCACGTAATCTCCTGATCAAAATAAGTGACAAAGATGCCTTATTCGGTTTGATTTGATGACTTTTACCCTGTCTGGTTGCTTATATCAATTATAAATTTTATGATTGCAAAGATTTTTTCAAATGTTTTCTCGTAAACACCAACTGTTTTATTTATTTATTTATTTTTTGCAAAAATAAGATAATTTTAAAATAACACTTACCCATCAGTATTTTAGGTTTACTCCCTTCAGAGACAGTGATACTTTTAGGATCGATATTAAAACCACTTAAAGTTGCATTACTTTGTTTCAAATTCACCTGAAAGGATTTTAAACCATTATTAGAGAACTAAAAAATTAATTATCAAATATTTTTATAGAAAACAGTCCATATAATGCAATAGCGAGTGTAAACAATGATAATAATACTGAAGGAATTTCTAAAGTTCAGTAAGAACCATTAACTACTCACAGGCTGTAAAAATATTAGTTAAGGAATCTCTAGAATAAACTAAAATTGATTTTTTGTTCATTCTAATGCACTAAACACCCTGCAAAAAACAGAGGCATAGCCCAATCTTTCAAAAAAAAAAGAAGCTCCTTTTAAGCACTCATAAAATATTTTTAAGCACTATATACAGATGCAGTATGTATATAGTGCTGTTATAGTATATAATGCAAAAACTATAACAAAATGCAAAATAATATTCAAAGACTTTACATGATGATTATAAAATAACTAGTTTCTGATAACGAGCTTTTTTCTTGATTATATTAGCCACCATAAAAAGATTGAGAGATTTTTCGGTTCAATTTCAGAGGGTGGAAAATGAAGTCTGAAATGGAGAATATCTTGACATGAGAACCTCACAAAACCCAGCTCAGTAGACGCACATGTGGACTTTCATCAAACATGTAAAATGATTGGCGCCTTCATATGCTATGGACAAACAGTACGCTGTAATGGATTGTGGTTGAATAGAACAATGTGAAAACCACGTTTTTGCGTAACACAGGATGAAACTCAATATGGTAAAGAAAAATAAATCATTTTCAAAAGGGGAATATTAAGTAGTTTTTTAAAAAAAAAACAATGAAAAAAGCACCTTTAAGGGCTTTTAAAAAACGAGAATAAGCACCAAAGATTTTTTTGAAAACATTACGCACTATGAAGAAATATTTCAATGCATATTTAAGTAATTTACGTCTAAAACTTATTTCAAAACACTTATCTGCTCCAGATACAACATTTAATTAGTATGCTTAATGATATGTGAAATGGTCTATAACACAGTCTCATGTTTTATAAAGATTGTCTACAGTAATAATAATTTTAAAGCATCCATACCTGTACATAACAATTCTTTTCAATGCAGAAGGGATCACTATTTGGCATGAAAGGTCCATCCTGGAATTCAATTTTGGCTGTTAGTTTTATTTCAAGATCTTTTGGAAACTTGGAACCTTAAAATATCAATGATTGGTAAGTGAGGTTGTTTTTACATATTCCTAAGATTTGTATTAACTGTAACTGCTAGAAGAAGAATCAATGAATTGATGATTGTTGACTGCAGTGTAGTGATTACAACAGGTTGATCACTTAATATGATTTTGCATAAACAATCAATAAATACTTTATGTCATTAAAACTTTGTTCATTTTCGGACTCTCAAAAAATACTTAACAGTTGTAACACAATAGTTAAGTGGTTTCAATATCTCACAATATTGTGAATCAGTTTCAATCAGATTTATTTAAAATCACTGGCAAAAATTTTGTTTGCATGTCTTATTTTGATTAAAATTATTTTTATCTACGTGAGAGAGAGAGAGAGAGACTTTTTAAGAAGAAAAAAAAAAGCTTCCTTAAGTAATTTATAATTCATTGTATCAACTATCAATTGTATCAATTAAGAAAGTAAGCAATCCACCGTTAAAGATCTGGTGTACACATTACTCAGTACTCAAAATCAAGCAAATAGTGTTATTAACTAAACCTGGTGTAAGAAAATCGCAAATATGTTTTAAGCGTTTACTTTATTGATTTCAGCTAATGTGGGAAGGGAATCTACGATTTCTAGTAATTACATATGTTTGTTAGGGGTTTGGTGTTTTGAAGTAAAATTTATTTTTTCATTTTTAGTTTTTGTTAAAAAATAAAAGAAATAAACATCATATGAGAAAAAGGTTACAGCCATTAGATGTTACTGATTTTTACCTGATTTACTAAAAAAAATTAGTTAGCTCTATGTTTTGAATAAGCATGAATAGTGAAGTGATGAAACCATTAGATCAAACAGAAAAAAATAAATACTTTTTTAAGAACTAATAGGAAGTATTTGAAAAAAAAACTTTACATGAAGATCTTATTAAACTCTACAATTAGCACGAACATCAGCATCAAAGATGAATTTTAATTACTTTTAAAACACTTGAACAATGTGAATGCAAATTGATTGCAACTATCTCTGCGCAATATGTTTCCAAAATATTTTTCGTTAATTAAATTCTGTTTTGATTTATAAAATTTAAATTTTCATCATTTGATGGACCTCATTATAAACCATTCATGAACTGCCAACACTAAAAAAGGAATTAGCAAGTATTGCTTAGAATAATCTGTTCATCCAATAGATTTGTACCTTAATGTATTGAAATAAAACTTTTATTAGACTCCTGGCTGTATATTAAATTAATGTAATAAAAACAGCTAAATATTGTTTTATCATTATTATAATAGTGTGCACATAAAGATGACTAACCCTATGAAACTAAATACAAAAGCTTTTGTTTTGATAAATTCCTTTTTTTTAAATTGCTTATTCATTATTAGGAATCAAAATTTTCTGATGCTTACGACAATACACAGCCATTCTTCAAAAAACTAATTTCTTTTATATCTTTAGATTGTATTGATTTCCTTCATTTATTCAGGCATGAAACTGTACAAAAGTTAAAAGCTGAACTTTTACAATGCAGACACTGGGAGGGGGGGGGGAGGATTTTATGAAATACTGTGATATACATAAGATATATAAAAACATAACTTCTAACTCTGCAGTGAGATTTTTTTAAAATTTTACATTAAAGGTGGCAGAAACATTTAGACAGTGAAACTAAATTTTTCTTAAACATAATTTTAAACTTCTTTGACCACAACTATTTTAAAAAAAATTAAGCAATATAAGACTTAATAATCATTCTTAATTAACTGCCAGTCAATCATTTTAAATTAAAACAGTCGCTAACTTTCACCTCAATATCTTCGGATAGATTGTTGCTAACAGTTTCAGTTACTTTGACTGTTTTATTTAACCGATCAAACTTGAACTTATTTTTTTCAGCAGCATTGAATGTAAGAACTATCAAATTGACTTCCAGTGCTAAAATACATTAATCTTATAATGCACCACATAGAAAGAACACAAGTAAACAAAAAACAAAAACATGCATGAACAAATGCTGCCTAAAAGTAAGAACTAGCGGAGTCGAGAGAACTATAACGCACGAATGTGCAAATTCAATACCCATCGCACCATGAAGGAAAACCTCAGATCAAATATCGGCGGCCAAAACGAAACTGATTAGAACTCAAAAACCAAGTCTTTGCCACAACTTTCAACAAAAAATAAGCACCTTCTAAGTACTTTTTAAGAACTACATACATAAACAAAATGCAAAATAATTTTCAAAGACTTTAAGACATGAGAAAATAACTAGTTTCCGACAAAAACTCTTTTTTTGATTATATTAGCCATTATAAAACGATCGAGAGATTTTTGGTTCGATACGAAAGGGTGGAAAATGAAGTCTGAATTTGAGAATATTTAGCAAAATGCAGCCGAGTTGCACATGAGAAGGCAATAATATCACCGAATCTAGCTCAGTAGACGCATAGAGCTATAAAAGCCCCCAGGGAGCTACTAAAAGAAATTCATTCTGAGTGCGGCTATCGTTCGGGCTGTTTGGGTTTCGGCAGATATGTGGGGTCTGTAATAATTGAACCCCATCAAAAATTTCGTTTTTGGAACTTTGTCGGAAATTTTAAAAATTGGGAGAAAATAGTGGTTTTCCACTTTTTTGAGGAAGTCTTTCATCCCTGTTTATTAATAAAATAGGTAGCACTTTGTAGCGTAAACACAATACAGGGAAATGTCAGCAGAATGTTGGGGTAAACTGTGTCATTAAATAATATAACAGTTTTAAATAATTACTCACCTATTGTCCATTTCAGAGAATATTTATCTTCTGATAATTTTAGAGATCCATGATTGGCATTCAATTCCATTCTTTTAACAGGTCCTCTAAGAAAAAGAATTGACTATAATGAAATGATACACATACACAAGATTTAAAAAATAGGAAAAGCTGAAATTTGTTTGGATGATATTTAGATTTTCTATTTAAAGAGCAAATAATTGGGAAAATGTAGGGGTTTTATCAGGGTTCCCACTCAATTTTAGAAAAAAAATTCCCTGACTTTTCCAGGTATATCAGGTAAATTTCAATGAAAATTGAGATTGTATTTCCATCAGAAGATTTTGATTCTTTTATTTGTATTGTGAAATATTAGATTTTCTGTGTTAAAAAATTTCATTAAATGAGGAAGGGAACATTTCAGTTTGACTAAAATGTGAAATTTTTACAACAAATGATTGTAATAGATGTTAGAATTATTTAACTTGATAACTGATTACTGTTACTGCTAACAATTTTAAGACTGGTTATTTTCCAGGTATGATATAGGAATATTCAAGGTTTTCATTAAAAAAAATTTCAACTTTCCCTGATTTTTAGAGTTAAAATGAAATTCCCTGACAATTCCATGTTTTCCTTGTTCTCCCTGACCAGTGAGAACCCGTTTTAATAGCACATGGATGTGAATTAAAACGATAAATTTTCAATTCAATTCAAAAGGATTGCATTAATAAAATTAATATTAGACTATATTTTTAATAAACATTTAATTTTAAATATTGAATTTATGAAACAAACAAAAAATTTTATTGGTATAAATCAGAAAATTCAATGTCATTCTAAATAACAAAATTTATTGCACTTTTTAGATTATATTATACGAATATATTAAGAAACATATGATCAAAAATAAATAAATTGAACAAGTTCAAATAGACCTCATATTTAAGGTTTAAATTAGTTTTGGATATTTAAAACAAAACAAGATATTCCCATTTTATTTTAAAATAAATTTTTATTTTAAGAACAAGATTCTAATCAATATAGTTTAACAAATAATTATTTACTTAGTTTTGTGATTTCTTAATTTTTTTTTAACGGTTTAGCAATGTTCATATGAAATAAACAAGCTACTTAATATATTAAAAAAAAATTTATAAACATGAATCTACATTTAACCCTTTGCAGGATATCTGCTACATTTTAGATTTTCAAATCTATGACTTTTCATGACTTTTAACGAAGTAAATTTTTTCTCCAACAAAAACACAACAATAAATTTAAAAAAGCATTATAACAACATTATTTGAAATTATGGGTATAACCAAAGCTGTTATACTATGCATCTTCATAGTTATAGATTTTAAATTTAAAAAAAAAAAGAGTTGAAGCCATAAAATAGCTGAGAAAAATAAACAAAGGCAAATAATTTTTTTCTGCGGAATTATATTCTAAAGATGCTTTTCTTGTTCCTCAGAAGGGAAAGAAATACAACTGTTTCTCTGTTCTCATTTCCGAATTAAAAAAATTTGCCAATGACTGGCTTGCTTTAGCTAGAATTTTAAATTGATAAGATAAAAATAATAAATAGTAATAAAAATTCTGAAACCACAGAAGTTTAAAAGATAATTCACTCTAGAAATGATGTTCTTCCTTTCATTTTTTTGACAGAACACCATTATTTTTAAAGAACATAATAAAAACATTTTCTATTTTAATAAAATATGACTGTGAGTGGGGATTTTGTTACAAATTCAGATATTCGGAGGGTATTCGTAAATTTCATTTTAAAAATTAGATTTTTGGGTGACCTAAATCCATGACTTTCCATGATTTCTTTTTAAAAAAAGTTAAAATCATGACATTTCATGACAGATTTTGTTCAATACCGAAATTCATAACTTTCCATGATTCTCATGACTTTCCAGGTGTGCAGATTTGTAAATAAGATAAATTTTGACCAAAATTTTATTTAAGTAGAACTACAGGAGTTGTGATCACCATTAATCAGCAAATGAAATAAAGCTATATTTTAATAATTATGCCTAATCCTTTACTCGATCTCTTCAGAATATTACTTATATTTTCCAAATTTAACAAAATATTAATATTAATAACTACACATGTACTTACTTATTAAAAAAAACTATAACTAAATCACAGAAGTCAAATGAATTCTTCACTTTTTCATTCAATTTCAACTGTAGAAGAAGCTCCATGCTGTCTTCACCCTAAAATGAAACAAAAACAATCATTAATGTGAACACATATATAAAATACCAATACAATGCAGTATGTGTAAAAATTAAAGAAACATTCTAAAAGATTATTTTTATAAATTATCAGATTTTCACCTACTTCATCTTATAAATGGTTTGAAGTTTAGCAAGAAAAAAAAGCATGTTTTTTTTAAAAGTACAATCCACATTTTTTTTTTTGTTCTAGAAAACCTATAGGATTCAACCTAAATGGATTCAACCCATGGTTTAAGAGCAAACCCAGATTGCAAAATAGTTGATTTCATAAGAGGTTAAACTAGTTGATTATTTTTGAAAAAGGTTAGACAAGCAGGTTTTACCTAAAAAAAAGAGTTTTTATTGTCTCTTTTAAGTTTTCCTCTTAATATTCCCATTTAACATACTAATAATTTATTCCAGTTAAAACAGTTTAGTAAAAAATATATATCTAGCTAAGAAACTTTGTACCCTGCAACTGACACTTCAAGGATTCCACACATTTATCTTTTTATTTACTTTGAAACAAATCAATACACCATGCAAATCACTTCACCAAAATCTGAAAGCATATTTGCTTAACTAATACATCTTAAATACATGTTTAATTACAGGTAGGTTAAAAATTTAAGAATAAATATATAAAATTAAGAATTAAACATTAAAATATACATTTTGCTACCACAAAGTATTTTTTTAACAAAGAATTTTCATAGAAGTTGACACCAAGCAAGCCTTAATACATAAATAAGAGGACTTTAATTAAGTATTTAGAACACTAAGATACTAACAATTTTGATTTGAATTCATCATAAGGCATGAATCAGATTTTTGTTTAATAAGCAAACTAGAAAAAAAAATCTTAACAAAATATTTTATAACAACACAAAAATCATATTGTAAACAATGATGCAATTCATACAAATCCTATTAACAATTATTATACAAATACTATATAAATGGCAAATTTTTTATATCACTAAAGAAGCAAAATTTTATATTAAAAATAAATTAACTCTAAATCGAATGAAATCAATTAAAGAGAATAAATTTTGAATCCATCAAACAACCCCAATGCCTGGCAATTCCTTTTTATCTATTTCATGTAGACAATTAAATGCTAAAATATATTGCAATGTATTTACCGAAGAATATTAGTCTTGTTTATAAAAGGTATTATTATTATTATATGCATTTATTTAGCTACAACAAAATTCAATTCAATTTAGTGTGAGGTATTGGCTGTATATTACAAAATTTTATATTCATTCAGTGAATTAAAAGCCACAAGGGAAAATAAAAATGATTATTTTGGAATAATTTTCTATTTTTCTACCATAGAAAAGTTTTTCAAACTAAAACTATGGCAATAATAAGGAAAACAAATGTCTCAGTTCACTGCATGAATGACTTGAGTTAATAACTAATTTTCACCAGTTCATATGCATAAATAAGAAAGTTCTTTGTTGTATTTAAAACAATCAAGCAAAATTTTATATAATATATATTTTAGGGCTTTAAATAATAGCATGTCTATTTTGGCTACAATGTTATAGTAACAAAATTTTGTTTTAATTTAACTGCTTTATAAATAATAGAAAAATTGATAAATTAATTGTTTGTTTGTCTCAAGTTATATCAAAATAACCTTTTTATAAATTAAGAGTTAATTTCTAGTGCATATTTAAATTAAAAAAAAAATACTTACAGCCATTTTAAATACTCCTTGCAGGGGTGGATCCTTAGGAAAGGATGAAATGTAATGAAAGAGAATCAATTCATGTAAGGGGGGAGAGAATCTTAACCTTTTCTGAACACCTATAAGCAGACTTAGATAAAATGAGAAACTTTCTGCAAACACAAAATCTCAATTAAAAACTTTTTTATAAACTCTTGTAACTTTCAACCATTTCGTTGCCACCTCATTTTGGAAAAATTTGTTTCAAAATCATTGACTTTTTAAAATAAAAATGTTTTAGTTTTTATCAAATTTTTTATTGATTCATACCTTAGGGATGAGTTTACAAATCTAGATATCTAATTTTAATATCACACAAATTATAAACTCTTTATATTATAATTTGTGTGATTTTAATTTATAAATTTTTTACTCTTTACATTATCCAAATTATAAACTCTTTATATTTAATTATACATTTTTTATAAACTTGAAACTGTAAAACTAATAATTTTGTTCTAAAATGGATAGCTGAATTAAGAGTAGCCAATTTATACTTTCAAGTTAAATAGTTTTTGATAAGAAAAATAATTTCAAATAAAGCCAGATTTGAATTTTTTTTAAAAATCTTTTTTTAAAACATGAAGAATATAAAAGAAATAGAAAAAAAAGTAAAAAAAATAATTTAAATAAACATACGTTGCTGTTGTACAGAAAATGCAAAATTAAAACTTTAAATTTTTGAATATTTTACTACAGTAATGACTGGTAATTTCATTAATAAAAAAATACCAAAGCTAATTTTTTCTCTGCATAATTCTCCAATACAGCAATGGCAAAAAAAAAAATCCCACACTAGCTGATTTATATAGGAAAAATCATAACCGAAGTTTAAAATATAAATTTCTTTTCATTTCATATTAGCCAGTTGAAGGAAAAAATTAGAATAATTCTGAGTACTAAATTACATTGCTGTTTATCCTCGATGCAGGGGTTTGACCAGTTTACATAAAAAGTCTTGATTGCTTAACTATAAGTCTTCTTGCTTTGAAATCAATTGTTTCATCAACCAATACATATAATAGATTTGAACCTGCATATTAATGATAGATAATGAAGGTATAAAATTCCTATTTTAATAAAGAATTTTAATACAGTTCTTAATAAAAAGAGAACCAGAAATATGGAAGTTCTGGGAATCGAAAGTTTCCAAAGCCTTGACGGAATCACTTAGCATAGTTTCAAGCATCTGGGGGGAGGTGGGGAGTAAAACTTGTTTAGATATATTTAAAATTTTATTCTCCGTAGCATTCTTAATTAAAATTTTCAATACATCACTGATAATTGAATTCTATTGGGAATTCAGCTTTAATTATTTCTTCAAAAATTATCATAATTTTTAATGAAATTCTGAATTTTTTAAGGAAAAGAAATTATTACTCATGGATGATGCTCCAGACAAGGTGACACAGGGATGAATGATGAGGGAATGCAAAGAGAGGGGTTGCTGTGGATCGACGGTGCCAAGGGAGAGACTGACGTCATTGTTGCCTCCCTCCAAGTCAGCTTTCACATACACCTGTCCGAATGTCTGAAAATGGGTGCTCTCCCCCGTCTGCAAAACAAAATAAGTTCTACATCCTCTTAACTTCAAAAGTAATAAATACAAAATTAAGTCACATGGGGAAAAGTAATTAAGGTAATAAGTGTTATTAAAAAAATGTAGTGCGTATAAAACTAGAATGCCTAGGGAAACTAAAACTTGTGAATTTGTATACATTTAATAATTCTGAGTATCAAATAACACAATACTGATACTGTGTGTTGATCAAATAAAACACTGAGTATCAAATAAACAGAAAGATTATATTACTTGTACATCAACAACAACCAGCTATATTAATACAAAGGCTTATCTCATACAAACTCTACTTCAAAAAATTAAGATTCTTCCTATCCATTAAGATGCAAAAAAAAAAAAAAGAAATTGATGAATATTTTAAAACAATTAAGAAAGACGTATGCAGGAAAATAGCGAAAACATAAAAGTCTGCAACAGACAATCAAAAGTAATGCAGGGTGCGTAGCCAAATCTTTGAATCTAAAATAAGCACTTTTTAAAAACTTTTCATGCACTTTACAAAAATTTTCAAGCACTCAAAAAATTCATATTGAATCAATGATATTATTGAAAAACAAAAACTTTTTATGAACAGTTTTAGCATTAAAAAANCATTGAACAATCAGTACTTTCCCACATCACCGAGTGAATTCAACTTGACTCTGAACTCAGGTAAAAAGTACCCTTACCCCTACATCAAAAAAGTGTTAGAAGTAAAATAAAATAAACAAGAATAAAATTATAAATTAAAAAGAAAAACATTTAATAAGGATCTGACTATATCCGAATTGGAGCACTCGGGTTTCAGCTTCGAGTGCGCGCGCATGCGCAAGTCATAACGTGGGTACCACATGAAGTCCGTGTGAATAATTACGTAGCAAACACCCCATTTTTCGTGAAATGCAGGGGATCCACCAGATATCACTGAAGGGAAAAAAATTATTCGTGAAAAAAAAGCACTTTTTAAAAACGTCAGTTGAAAAAAGCACCTTTAAAAGCTTTTAAAAACGAAATNAGATTTTCTTCGACGTGTTACGACATGAAGTCCGTGCGAATAATTACGTAGCAAACACCCCATTTTTCGTGAAATGCAGGAGATCCGCCAGATATCACTGAAGGAAAAAAAAATTATTCGTGAAAAAAAAGCACTTTTTAAAAACGCCAGTTGAAAAAAGCACCTTTAAAAGCTTTTAAAAACGAAATCTCCCAAAAAGCACCTTTAAGTACATTTTACAAACGCTACGCACCCTGTAATGGATGTTTGGAACCAATGTTGTTGCAAGACAACTAATAGGCATCAGATTAATTGAAAATGAGCAATAACTCATTTGGGTAAGATTTATTTCGATTTTGTACTAAATTTATTGTGCTGTAAGTACTACCATAGGTTTCAGAGCATCTTTCACAGATTTATTCCAGAATCTTTAGAGTAATTTTTAGTAAAAATGCCACACTGTCTTACATGTTGCACCTGCTAAAAACATCTCTAGAATTTTTTATTATCATTGCATAGGCCCCACCGCTATATACGTTGCATTTACAATTTTAGCCAGGATAGATTTCAGCCACTGACAAACAGAAAACAGGTATTTTAAGCACAAAAAAAGAAGAAGAAAGTTTCAACAGCAATGTATAACATATGAAAGTGAACTCAAAAAGTTTCTCTTATAAAGAAAAACAAGCTCAAAATCTCACGGGCAACCAAGAAGCACTAACAACATGGGGCAAAACGAAAATCGAAACTGCAGTTGAAAGGATAGAAATGAAAGCGAAATACCATATGTAAATCTCGTGACATTGGAAATCTCATCCATAAGAGTATCAATCATTGTTTTCTTCTCTGTTCTTCACCAACATGCTTCACTTACCCATCCACTCATCATCATAGTTGGCTAGACAGTCCAATGTGGGCCTTCTCATCTCAACCGCGGCCTTCCCCGATATCTTGTTCTAGTAGGTCTAAAAAGCAGCATCTTTTTTATTGTGTTGTCACCACTAATTTGAATCACGTGGATCATCTACTTCAATATATTTATTTTTATGTATTTAATAATATCAGGTTGCTTATGAATCTCAGTTCAAAGTTAAATCTCCTTCTCCAGTTATTGTTTCCATTTACACCACCAAGTATACTCCGGAAAATCTTTCTCTCAAATATTGCGATACAATTTTCCTCCAGTTTCGTCGTTGTCCAAGCTTCAGAAGCGTACATCAAGAATGGCCTGAATAGAGTCTTGTAGATTATGAACTGTTAGATTAAGAACGAATTTTGCTATGAAATCCTTAGAAGAAAGTAGTACATTTGTAGTTGACGTAGTATAATCCATTATCAATTAAAAATCTTTTCTTTCTTTTTATTCTACCACATTTTAATAAAAAAATATTAGATAAATTAGAAAAATATACCATTTACCAAGAAAATTGATACTGGTTTGGTATTTTAGAACATTTTTAATACTGGTATTTTGAACACATAAATCCACACTGACCACGAAATCCTCGTGCAAATCTCAGGGGAAAATCAAATCACCAGGCAGATATGATGCACATATTTTGTCTTTTAAATACAGATAAGCAGTGGCATATATGCTGGAAATTACAGTAAATGGTGAAGTGTGAATAATTGTAACGCCGTTTATGTTCACACAACCTTTCAAATGCATCTTGTATATTGAGCATCCAATTGAATCAGTAAGTTTGATTCAAGGTATCTGCTACATTTCAGATTTTCAAATCCATATCTTTTCATGACTTTCTATGAATAATTCCAAGAATTTCTCATGACTTACCAAAGTTACTATTTTTTCCGACAAAAACACAGCAATAAATTTAAAAAAGCATTATAATAACATTAATTGAAATGATTGATATAACCAAAATTGTTATACTCTGCATCTTCATATTTATTAATTTTAAACTTAAAAAACACAGTAAAGAAAGAGTTGAAGCAATAAAACAGCTGAGAAAAATACAAAAGCAAATAACTAACTACAGTCAGATATATGTGGTTATTTAAACCTGTTCTTTTCTTCTTAAAAGTAAGTGTCATATAAAAGGCCTAAACTTGAATTTAAAATTCATAAAATAAAAATAATAAATAATTACCAGATAAAAAAATTCTGAAATCATGGAAGTTTAAAAGATAATTCACTCTAGAAATGATGTTCTTTCTTTTTTTGAAATAACACCATAATTTTTTAAAGAACATGATAAAAACATTATATATTTTAATAAATATGACTATGAAGGGGGATTTTGTTACAAATTCAGATATTAGGAACACTGTGAAATTAGAAGAGGGGGGGGGGTAAATTCCATTTTTAAAAATTAGATTTTTCAGCAACCTAAATCCATGACTTTCCATGATTTTTTTTTTAAAAAATAGTTAAAATCATGACATTTCATGACAAATTTTGTTCAATACCAAAATCCATGACATTCCATGATTTTTCATGACTTTACAGGTGCGCAGATACCCTGTTGATTACTCACTTTGGCGAAAATAGGCACATGACAGCCTAAAAATTAAATTTACCAAGTACATGAATTGAAATGAATAGTAGTGGTTTAAACCTATGTGTGAAGGTGGAAGAAAGAAAAAAAAAGGGGGAGGGACTCATTTTCAGGATCAATTGACTTACCAAGATACATCGAATGAATTCCAATATTTTTATGTTGATGACTTGCTTACCTCGGGATTCAGAGGGTTTCCATGCTGGTTGCTGAAAAAGTTGGACAAAAATTCTTAACACAAATAAACATTTAAAAAAACACATAAAAACATATAACTCATAAGCACAATCAAATCAAGTTAAGATTATCCTTGTAGTGTGTACAAACAATACGGTAAAACAGTTTAACCAACAGTGTAGGATGCACAGCCTATAAACATAATAAAAGTTGCAATGATTTTTAACAGCTGCACACAAGATCTTGGTCCAAGTCCAAATTATCCCCACACATGTTGTTACTTTAAGGGAAAGTTGGACAATCTGTTAAACTGTGTAAGTGTTTTGTGAGGGACTAACAACCAACTGGTCTAGGCTTGTTGTAAGGAATACTATTTTCCACAGGGAAGCACCAAATTTTTCTGCTTCATTTTCTCAAAGATAAACTCTAAATCTAGAATTAAGCTCAGGGGATAGAGCACCTACCTCCGGATAAAGTGACTTGGTTTTTAATCCACCCTAGCAGCAAAATTACTCGGGGCCCTCATGGGACCAATATTCACGCATTTTGGCTTAATAAGGATTCAAAGGTCTATTATTTTTCGGATATTGGGCATATATAGAATTGATTGATTCACCCGATATTTTACAACCACTTTAACCAATATCAGATCTCCTTAGAATTGTCAGATTCTTACGATATTTCCTATTTAACCAATATAGGTACTATATAGGTCGACATTGGACCAATACTAAAAATTCTAGATATCCTGATATTGATCTATCGGTGCTTGCTCATATAGGACTCATATTGAGCCAATTTTGAGTTCAACTGGGGCCAATTTAAAATTGTCGCTAGGGCAGTCATGACTAATAAGTGCAAACGAATTCTGTTGACGGCTCACAAATATATCTTCAGAGAAAAACGAAACCTGAGTAAGGACCTCCTTGCTGTTGGGCTAATGATGGTAGATTTTATTCGACGTGTTACACAAATGCAGGCTAGTTTGTCACAATGCTGATCCAGATGCTCCCTTTTCTTCTGGGTTGGGTTCAAAGTTACAATGCTATGGGGTTAGACCTTGATAGTTGTTTCCACAGTTCAACGCTGGTTATGAAATGAAATAAATCTAGCATTGTTGATTCTTTTAGCACTGCAACAAATAACTGGAGGACCAGGTTGGGTAAGGTCAGTGCCTGCATTACACAGGCAGAATGTTAGCAAACTTATTTGCCATGATTCCATAGTGATCCATTGCAAAAGGAATATTGTGACCATTATCCATCGAGGAATAAATCACAAGTTGACAAATAAGAACAGGCTCGTTCCTTAAAAGCAAGACTGAAGAAATTTAGAAGAATTGTTTGAATGTCTTACTTATTAAGTCACTAACTCACACTTAGGAATACTTTTTTTTTTATTTCACTAACTGAAATGCATTTTATAGGTATCAAATTTCAATTTTCAACAAGTTCAGCATTTTTAAAGCTTTTTAAGAATCACTCTAGAATCATGAGAGTGGTTGGGCAACCTTTAAATGATGTTTTCTTTCAAGCAAATAAATAATATATTATTTTTACATTTTAATTAATGAAACCTTATTCCTTAATACTAGCTTAAATTGTGGCATAAAAACATACTAAAAAATAGGTAATTAAACTGCAGTTATTAATCAAAGATTTTGTCTCAGGAATATATTTAAAAAAATAAATAGTTCTTAATTCACACAATCCAGGGATGAATGCTTCATTGTGAAGCAAAATTTAATTGTGTAGAGTTTGACAAAGATAAAGTTTTATGTCTTATAAAGATATATAACATCAGTAATTTATTCGAGAACAAGTTTCCACAGTAAAATGTTACAGCCTCCTTACAAGATGTGAAAGAGACAACAAATACATAGATCTATTCAAATTATCTTACAGGTCTAGGTGAACAAGTGATCGTCATTATCAGACAGGCAATAACAAATCATAATTTAATCTAATGATGAAGCTTTTAAATGATTATTAAATAAAATAAAAACATATTTCAGATATTGTTAATTTTTGAATAACACTCTCCTGTAGGCATTAAATATTTCCTAGCTTTAAAAATTTCTTTAATTTTATGAACTTAATTTTTCTTTTTAATATCAAATATTTAATTTTACTAAACATTATAAAATAAATCACTTTTTATTTATTTCTCAACAATCAATGTAACAGCTAACTTTTTTATTTAATGAAAGTGTGTAATTCATTAATTCAGTGTCGCGACTATCATGACAATATAAAAATCTATTTTTAACTTTATTTGTCTTTGAGATACTTTATTTCTCTAACCACACAATTATTTCAGTAGCAGGGTTATATTTAATTCTAATGGTCTTTTTGGTGATACAGTTGTAACAAGATTACTTAAAATTTAATATCAATAATGAGGGGTGGGCTTAATTTTTAGCTATGTTACTATCTTATCTATCGATAACTCGCCAAATTTTGAATTCTTCCCAGGCTAGTATGTGTCTGTTAGCAACTATGCAACCACTGGTAATTTTAAATTCTTGGTGTTAGGACTGTCTTTTTTTTTTAATGTTTGATGGCTTCTCAGCCCAAATGATGAAAGTGATACAGAATTATTACATAAAAATGGATGCTAAAAAGAAATTTTGTCTCTGTAAAAAGAGATGCTCTAATATTTTTTTTTGAAGTCATACGATTGAAGTTGTATGATTTTTTTGAAGTTATAATGTGGCCATATTTGTTAATTTTAAAAATGCTGCCTCAAAAAAAAGGATCATTTTCTTTGTTTGATCATACTTCTGTAACTTCTCTTTTTTAATATAAAAGCAACGGACAGAAACTTTTATTACTTTACAGCATATTTTTGAATTTTGTTTATATTTTAAATATCTCATAGGGTGGATAATTTACCTTTTTAAGAAATTTTTGAGCTGGGAATTTTAAACTACTTGCAATGCATGGCAGGTCAACATCTGATGGTATTCCAAAAGGCATAGACAAGGATGTGAAATTGGCGAGATCTATTATCTTTGATTGCCGTTGCTATAAGAAGAAAATTAATAAGTGGTTACACAAAAAACAGTTGTAGGCTAAAATCAATGAGCAAATAAATAAATGCCATAAATTATTACTTTATATATGCCTCTGAAAGAGGACAGTTTTTTTTTTTTGGCAAACAATGCTTGGAGGACTACGAAAATTCTCTCAAAATAGTAAAAATATTGTGGGGAATGTAGTTATCGACAATGTCAACTTTCATCTATGAAAAGGTACCCCACAATAGAATCAAGTTAACATGTCTTATACAATAGGGAATTTGAATTATATTTTTGTAGTGGTATTCACATTAAAATAAACCAAAGAGGAAATCATCTGTTTAACTTACTCTGAGATTGAAAAAGCTACAAGAGCACATTAAATTTCAGTTTTATAAAAAGGTTATGGGAACCTGAAAACATTCAACTGGCAAGGTGGGTTTTGATAAATTTTCTTGTCCTTTTTTAAAAGATTCATTTTAATTAAAATTAAATTTTAAAATAATTAATTTTTGTTGTACAGTCGTCAAAAAAAAAAAAAAAAAAAANTTCTAGTTGTACAATCCGTAAAAAAAAAAAAAGATAGCACCCTGAATAACTTTTGCTCTAATGATCGGATTTTCACGAACTAAGTGTCAATCTTAATGGTTCCTGTTGGTGACCTCAAATATGCTAATTAATTATTGCTAACTATTAATTAAGTTACGAAATCAGACNAATCTTGACCTTGAATAACTTTTGTTCTAATAATTGGATTTCCGTGAATTAAGTACCAATCTAAATGGTTCAATAGGGTGACCTCTAATATGTTAATTAATTAGTGCTAACTATTAAGTTAGGAAATCAGACACAAAAACGTACTTTCTTTGAATAAAGATATATTTTATGGAGGGTGAAATCTTTTTTTTTTACCTGCCAACTGTACAATGATTATTACAAAAGGTATTGATGATTAAATCTTAATAAAAATTGTATTTTAGCACTAAAATTTATAGCAATATATGTTATCTTAATATAATATACTTTTGATTAAAATGTGCAGTGAAACTCATAGAAATCTAAAATTTAGATAATTTTTTTGATTCTGCAGATAAAATTTCTTTTCAATTGCTTGAAAAACTCTTCCTCATGACGTAACAATAAATAAAGCTCCCCCACTTTGCATTATAATTAGAAAATATTGCCTTACAAAATAAATTAAAAAATTCACCAATCACCCACGAACTTAGGGGATCTTAAGGTAACCCCAGGAGATATTGAATTGACGAACGTTTTCTGAGTATAATTAAATTGAAAGTAATAAATTCTTTATTTAATAAGAAACATAACAGTGAAAACACAAAATATAATTGCATAAAATGTAGCGAAAGCAGTTTTCAGACGGATGAAAGCACTGCTTGCATCTACTCCACTAGTTTTGATGCATTTGCAATGAGATTCAACTCTTGAAATTTTAAGGAAGTTCTGCATTAAAAACAGAATTTCATAAGCATCATCCAAAGAGTTCTATACTATTTCTTAGCATACAACTGTCCTCAATTTCTAGATTGGAAACGTATTTTCAAAAGAAAAAACAAAACAATAAGAGGTTTTTAAAATACCTTAAGTTAAACTTTATATGTTACTATGATATAAAAATAAATTAAAGTGAAAACACTATTTAATTCTTATTTTAAAAGGAACCACAATAAATAAAAAATAACATGGAATTAATAAAATATTCTCTGCTGCTAATACCTTTCGAAGTGAGTTTTTTCCGAGCAATTTCTCAATTATTACCAAAGGGATTAATAAACAAATGGTTATGTAAATCACTATTTCAGTCATTTCTATGCCTTCCAAACATATAATGAATTTCAGAGTGATGAAGTTACTGAAATAATTCTTTGTAAAATGTAAAACAAAAAAAATTTTGTGATAAGTTTAAATTGTAAATAAAATGCATAATTTGCTTTAAAGTTACTAAATGGAATTCTAAGAAGCAAAGTAATTATTAATGAAATGAAATACACTTATCATTTTGTTGCATATTCATTTGCATTTTTCAACGTATAAATTCCTTATGTGTCTTACAATGCACAAAAAACTACGAACTTTTATCTTTATTATACATCTTAATTTTGAAATGAATGAAAAAAGGTTTTCAAAAATTTACTTTTTGAAACATTCCATGCATTTAATTTAAGATTTTATTGAACATACAGAAATGCTCACGAAATTTAATTAATAATTTATGCACAAATGAACATATCATGAACAACCAATATACACAATATGCATTTACATTTCATTAACAAATAATTTTATGTTTACTATATAATTCTTTTGTAATTAACAAAATTTTTATGAAATGAAATAGTGGTAAATGAACATAAGATTCATAAATATGAAATAAAAAAATTTTTGGTACTCCTTAAAATGTATAATATAAGTTAAATCTCAAATGTCATGACAATTTCATGAAACTAAAAATTTAAAATATCAGAAGTCTCTCTACTGAAATATTTAAACGTAACAGAAACTATTCTGTAGAGTCCCTGTGTGATTTCACCAGTTTAATGAGAACTAAAATCATAAAACATTCTTTTTCGTGCTGCTATCATTAGAGAAGCATTGAATAAGGTAATTATATTAGATGTTTTGGCTTTCAATTGATATTCTAAATTATGGTTTTTGCAAAATTCAGGGTTTAATATTTTAAACTTAATCAATAAATACAGATTCTTTTGAAAAAGGCAGAGTACATGGAAGCAGGTACAGTCTAAAATAGAAATCTCAATATAAATTTAATTATGATTTTGATATAATATTTTAAAATATACAGAAATTTAAATAACACAGAAATTTTTTTTAACAGAAAAATTTATTTCTACATTTGTTGTCTAAAAATATCTTATTCTTTTTTAAATATTAGGTATATGTAATATATATCCATTAATGTATTTTAACAAATGCTAAAGGGCTTACAATTCAAATAAATTATGTAATAAATATTATGTATATGCATATAACGCATAGATAAGATATGCATATTACACACAGATAGATTTTATAGATAAGTAACATATTTTAATTTTGAAATATGCTTTTAATCATGTACTTTATTTTTTCATGTATTTGGCTCATCTGTTCATCATAATTTTCCATAAAAAGTTACTATGTTAATTTATAAATTGATAATTTCAAAGAACAATTTGGTTCGATATCTGCAAAGAAAACTGATTAGAAATAATGCAATGGAAAAAAAAACAACTTTTGGGGTATTAAGATTAGTTTTTCAAGTGGGTCCAACCCAGAAAAACCCACTATATTTTTCAGCTCTGGGCCTACCGGTGCAAACCCTGATTAAGAGTAGAAATATTGGTTGTATTAATCTTTTTAAAGTAAATTTGCATTATTATATTAAAATTGCGGAATTATATTATAATCATAGAATTTCAAGTTAAAAATTTGAACAATTAAGTATTTTATGATTATTATTTAGATTAATGCATGACTTTCAGCATATTTTCTAAATTCTGTCAATTTTAAACAATATGCAATACAAAATGTAAAGAATTCTGAAATTTTTGTAAATGAAACAATACATTAAATGTCGCATTTTATATTGAAGTAACCAATACTTTTACTGCAAAAATTTTATTTGCTGCTTACCATATACTTTGTTTTAATTATTTTACAAAAAAATAAAATTTGATGCAGTACAAAAGATCACATTAAGCATAACTTAAGTGATTTTACAAAAACTGTATTTCACATTTGAGTTTTTCAAAAACTTAATTTGTCCTGCAGGTAGCAAAGATTTAAGCTCACATTCCTATTCACACAGTAAATCCAAATCAAATAGTAGAATATTTTTAATAACATGAATAACCAAAATCAAGAAAATTTCGACTTTCACCAGTAAATGTCAACTATCACATAGTTGCTTTGGTAAACGTTCAAATTTTTGTTACATCAGATTTGATATTAATTTATTTGCTGATAATACATTTATTCGATATTTTATCAATTCAATTTTGAATATCTACTGAGGATAGATTAGGAGAAACATTAGTGACAAGAGTACCTGTTAATGCATGCCGGGTAGTGGCACTTGACCTTAAAAAAAAATCAGTGTAGGGCATACCAAGCAAATGTATACCAGGAAGTGGCACTGAACCTGACAAAAAAACATTGATGTAGGGTATACCGGGCAGAGTAGACATAGTATATATTTCAGACATTTATCAGAGCGACTACATGATGGTCAACAATCACTAGTGAAAATCAAGAACCACTGATTTCGGCCATTCATAGTAACACATACACTTAATTAGCTTTAAAGAAACAAATCAAGTGAATTTTTTCAACTTTTAAATAAAATAAAATAATGGTTACAAAATTAGAGAAAGTGATACCAAGAGAAAAACGGGACAGAGGCTCTAACCCATAGTTAAAAAATATATATAATAACTATACTTACGTCCATTTTTGCTGCTCCAATGATACTTAAAATTCCCAACAGCACAGAAAATCCCATTGATATGAAAGGCCTAAAAATTGCAACACACACAATAAGTGAAATTTAATAAACACTCCTGTAAAAAGTTAAACTAGTAAAATAAAAAGGAAGACTTCTTACATTTTTAATAATTCTTCCTTTTTTAGATTCCTTATGCCTTCCTCAAATGGCAAACAACAAACGAGTAAGTTATTCTAAAATGTACACAGATAAACTCACTAGATGACACCTTAAATTACTAAGCATAACAAAAAGGAAAGTTAATGACACATTTTGTTTGCTCATATGAATAATATGACTGAAATAAACATTAAAAAGTTTTAATTTTAAAAAATGGAAGATTTTTGTCACGTGAAATTTATTGCTGAATATATGCACTTTAAAAAATAATGCATTTGAAAAAAAAAACACTTTTTTTTTTCCTTTAACGTGAGAGTAAAAACTTTTATTACATATAAATTTAAATTTTTTAGAATCTGAGTGTTTTAATTTTCCTTTAAGAAAATGAAATAAGTATACAATAAAGTAAGCTCATAAGAGGATTTTGCTACAGAAACGTCATTCAGTATTTTATTTGAATAACACACACAACAGATAGTTTTTTTTTGTTTACAGTTTCATGTTTGCTGATATCTAATTTGAGAATATAATCACAAAAAAGAAAGTCATATAAATTAAAATGATGCACTTATGTTATGAGTAAAATGTGCTTCTGCAAATTTTATATTTTTAAGTTGAGGCCAACTTGAAAAGTGAGAAAACAATGTGCTGAGCTGATAGCATATACTTTGTTGAGAGGATGTTTAGTGAATCGGTATTATTAATCTCTTTGGAAATAATTTTCACATTATAGAATAAATTTTTTCAAAGAGTATTTTCTTAAGTTGGAAGATTCTAAAATTATATTTGTTATAATTGTTTTGAATAAATAAAATTATAAAAATATCTCAGGTCTTAACGTTTGTCTGTTTGTTAGCATAACAAGACCTTTATACAGTCATGATATGGATTAACATAATTCTTTGAAAATATTAAAAATCCAGATTAAATATTGAAAGCATTATTTGCAGAGAAGTTTCAAAATATATTTTTATAGTATTAAAAATGTCACTCATTCTGAAAATTATTCTCTAATTCAAGAAGTAGTAAAAACCAAATATTCAAAATTTTGAGTTTACATTTTTTAAAATTGAGTTATTTATTTGATGCAAACATTTTAAAAACAGTAATTAGTAACAGTAAAATATCACAGAGAATAAGAAATTAGCATTAGTAAAAGAAAATTTATAATTGAAAAGATAAACAAGTAAAATCCTTTAACAAAATGAAAAAACAAGGAAATATTTTTCAAACAAAAATCAAACTTATTTTATTTTAAAGTAAGAAAATAAATATTTACCTGAGTGATGGATATAACTGGCCATAAAGTCTGTGTATTTATATGCAGTTCTACAAGAGGAAGTTGCATTAAGCCACTGCATTTATCTCTCCACTCTACAAACTGAAAGGGGAAAATATTAAGAAGATTTTTTTGAATTTCAAAAAGTACTAAAATTGCTAACAATAACTCGGCCTGTTATGTTACAATGTAAATTAAATCAGTATAAAACCTGAGATGAAAAGTTATTCTAGCTAACAATCTTACAATAAAAATAATAAAAACACTTGCAAATGACTTAATGTTTTAAGAAAATATAATTATAAAATATGTGTAACTTATGGTGAAATATTTCAATTTTTATTTTATTACAATAAAATGTATGCTAAAAGTTATTTTTTACCATTATAAATAATGAAAATACAAAATTGTTATAAATTAATAAAATGCTTATTTTTTAATCCAACTTTACATAAAATTAACATTTATAGCTTTCTTAAAAAGTATTTTTTTCAATCAGTGAAAATTGAATACAAGCATAGTTTAAATTCTTATAAAATATAGCTTAAATAAATAAAGCAATAGTTAAATAAATAAAGTGCAGCTTAAACTATTTAGCTTTTAATTTATAAGGTTTTCCCTGCATAATTTAAAGTTTCAAAATTTTAACACTCTACTTAAAAAAAAAAAAAACTTTAAGCAATTTTTAAACTTAATTCACATTATTAACAAATATTGGATTAAACTATAAGGATTGTGCTTTGATTCTAGATCAGCTACAAGTATCCCTGATTTATCCATAAATAACATAAAATTTCCAGAAATCAAATTGTTAACATGCTTCATATTATTAAAATAAGCAAAATACGAACTTACGTATGGCACATAATATTTTTCATTGAAATAAAATGAATTCAATTGATTATTGAAACAGAGGATGAGAGCAAAACAACTAAACAAGCTATACAAATTCCTAACATAGATCTAGCACATTTAGACATTAAATATCTTTTAATGTCTAAATGTAAACACAATATACTCTTCACAATATTCCTCTGCATCTGCCTACCTTTTATATGAGAACTTAACTACTCATGAACTAACCCATTCAAGAATTAAATTTCAAAACACATCTGGCCAACGCTGCTATTCTTATTGCTGCTATTTTTCGGCTTATTTTTTTTATTTCATAATATGTACATTGTATATAAAAACAAATTCATAACTGGACTAGATTTAGTCCTTGGACTGTGAATTCAATTGTCGGACTTAGAGCCAAATTTAAGATTATTAATGATAAAACGACATAAAATATTAATCAGTATGGTAAAGGTATTAAGAATAATTAATAAAAAGTTACACATTATATGGATGAAAAAAAAATAAAATAGAAAAAATTAGAATTTAGAACATTTGAATTTAAAGTATATCCTAGAGTAGAAACAAAGCGAGTGCTGCCAGATCCGGCAGACTAAATAAAGCTGAAAACAAAACATAAATACTTAAGTTAAAAGAAAATTTATTACTCACCTATTTTTTGGCACAAATAAAGAATGCAAAAATATAAAACTGGAGAATATATATATATCAGGGGTCTGTCTAGGTTTTTCTTAAAAGTACCTATTTTGTGAAAATTTTGACATAATTTGTGAAAAATTAAAAATTATATTAAAAAGTCAACACTAAAACATGGTAAAAATATAGATTTATCGTTTCTTAAGGGAGACAAAAATAAAATTTTAAGAAAAAGTATTTTGTGAAAATACCATTTTTCCTAAAGTTGAATTTGTGAAACTACCGTTTTACCTAAAATTGAATTTGTGAAGGTACCACTAAACGGTAGTAAATTCGGCCTGGACAGACCCCTGTATATATATATTTAAAAATTTATAATTTATTTTTCATTTTATTTATTTTTTAAAATCTAAAGAATCATGTCAATAAATATAATCAATAAATTAGTTCATTGAACGAGAGAAAATTTTTTTGAACTTTAAAGAAATCATTAATGCACACATCACAAAATGTGAAAAACTCTTGACTCCGCAATGTAACAGATCATTCTAGTTAAACTGCAGATTGGCTAAGTAATGTGCATATTAATAGCTTTTTAAGAGGTAACCGATAAACAAGGACAAAGTTACCTGTTTAGAGTCAGTTAACCCTAAAGTGACTAAAATATTGCTCGCAAAAGAAGAAACAGATGGTAGAGGTACATAGCTTCCTTCTTCTAATACTTTACACATTTTTTCAACAGTTGGAAAATGTCTAAAAAAAATCAAGCTTTTTAATTTTGTTGCACGTCAAAAAATGAAAAATGTAAGATAAGTATATTAAAAATTATAACACAGTTAAAAATCCTCATCTAAAGATCAGCATTCAATCATTAGGACAATTTTAATTATGATTCACATACAAATTAAATGCAATGCATGGCTTATTTAGGTATTTTAAAAAGTAACTGACTGTAATTGTTAAACTGATTTAGGGTTATATTAGAATATAACCTATAAATGAGTACTTATTGCACAGTTCTCTACAGGAGTATGAAAGGACATGGCGCGTTAAGTATTGAAAGGACACTCCCGTAACATCGTAAGTATTTATCAAAATGTGTAATATTAAATATGCTAAACAATGTTTCAATTATCCTTTCATGCTATTTTATGAGTATATTTCAAATGGTAATTATCTTTCATTATCAAAACAGAAAAATTTGAAGTTCATAGAAATAATTAAAGGTAATCTGAGAGCTCATTTATTTTTCAAAAAAAAGTAAACTATGAAAAAAAGTTAAATTAATAAACAACTTGAAAGCCTTTTTCTAGAAAATTATTAAACAATATACATTTAAAAGATGCATTTTTTTCTTTGAAAAATAGGCATTTATTTAAAAATTAGCTTTAGAATCACATAAAAAATTATTTATATCCCTCCCTTCGAAAAAAAAAACTTATAAAAAAATTTAACCAGTTGAGAATAATCCTAACCAGGGGAGATTTCTGTATCCTGATATGCTGCAGAATAATCCCCAAATCTTGGCAACTTCCAGGCAGAGGCTTGCAAGAAACTAAAAAAAAACATCCCATAAAGAGACCAACTCGAAAGGTAGGTATAACTCATAATTACTCCCAGGCAAACACCTACATGATTTTTTTTTTTTAAATTTGCAAGTTTAAAATCTATTTGGCACCTAGGTGATTGAAGTTGGGTATTCCCAACTTCAGCCCCCTTAACCAAGTATATGTACGCTTCAAATTTTTTTAAATTTGATTTTAAAAAATGCCCTAAAATTCATACTGAATTAGACTTTTTGTTAGTATATTAAAAAATAAATAAGTAACCTCGTATGGCAAAGTTATTCAAAAAGATCTGTAAAAACAATGCTGAGGTTTAGCGATTGAAATGAGTAGGGTTCAATCCGAATTTTTTTTAATTTTCAAAATAATCTTAATTTTTTTAACGGCTTATTCCTGCGAAAATTAGAATAATTTTGAATCAACCTTTCAACTCAATGGCAGATTTAATGAATAAATACAATAGGAGCTTTTAACATAAAACTCAGGTGGGCTTGATCAAAATGTACATAAATTTTTTATTTTACCTGAGAAAGAAGGTATAACAAAAAAAAGAGAGAAAACACTCACCTATAAAATAATACATTACCATAGTCTTCTTTACACATACTCAATACCCAAAGAGCTCTGACGCTCATATTGTAGAACCCGTTCAAAATTTCTATGTGTTTATAAAAAATATTGTGCAAAGTTAAGATCAAATCAAATGAATGAATGAGAACTTATGATATGAATAAAAGTATTATTTTGAAAATTAGCTTATAGCTTTCTACTTTTCAGTTCTTACTATCTTCCTTCATTGAGCAAGCTATAAGCTTGATTTATGACTGATAAATATAACCACGTTTACCGGTAAATATCAATCGAATTCAATTATTCTAGTTTCTTGCTGAATGAAAAAATTTAATATTAGTCTTGTTAGAGATCATGAATTTGAATGCACTTTTTCTAAAACGAACAGTATTTCATAAACTATTTCGTCACTGCTGCTCAAAAAAAGTAGTTTTGGGCATTGAAACAAGTTGTGATGATACTGCAGCAGCTGTTATCGATGAGACAGGAAAAATTCTTGGACACAAATGCGAATCCCAGATGAAGATACATTTGGAGTAATACAAAATTCATAGTTTTTTTTTTCCTGCCTCCATTCTTCTCCATGAATATAAGTTCAAATATATGAAACTGCTGTTTCGATCTTTAAATGTCTATTCCCATTTTTTTCCTGTTTTTTTTTTTTTTTAGCGGAACCCGACTTTATAAATAATACATATGAAACAAAGTAAGACTACTACCTAATTGCATTTCGAGCTTAATCCTAGTATATGCTACACGGTAAATATAGTGATGCTTGATTAGGATGATGAAGTTTGTAATTTGTAGTTGTAGGCTTCGCATCTATTTTTTTATGACACTTGTAATTGCGATGATCGCAAAAATGAGGAGATTGTATTAGAAAAGGATATTTGACATTGGGATGATGTATAAGACTGATTTCTAACTGTGCAGATGGGGTAAAGTGGGTATATGTTAGCGCCGCGACAGAATCGCGGTGACATTGTCGCAGAACATTACAGAGTTCTTGCAGAAAGATTTTTGTTCTAAAAATAAAAAAAAAGTCACTTTTCTTTTTGACAGAAATTTTCGAAAAATTATCATATTCGAATGTATTATTAATATTCGAATCGGGTAATATTTGAATTGCATTTGGACAATCACTTTTTGATGCGCTGAATTCACGCTAATAGTATCGTAAATCGATGTAATGTTTCGATTGTATTGTTGGCAGTTATTGATATTTATTTTAACGTGGATTTTAAATATCCCGATATATTTTAAACAATGTGGAAAATTTTAATCGTGCATTTGAGTATTTACTTTATTAGTCAATAATTTATCAAATTTTTGGCATTGTTAGTAACTTCTCCATAGTATTTAAATCCAATATTTTTTTATTTGATATTATTTATTACAACCTAATTTCGAAGCGAAACACACAGTAGAGATGTCCGATTCATCGTCAATTTTTTTTTTCGGCAATTACTGCTACGGATATCATGATTAAAATTTTTTTATTGTGATTATTACTTACAAAATGGGAAGAAGGAAATAATTTGTGCATCTCCCTCCCCCAACGAAATGCGAGAATATCACCCATACTTACTTACTTATCCTCTACGTGCCATTGGGCACTTAAGGCCTCTAGCATATCCCTCCAACGCCTCCTGTCTCTAGCAATAGATCTTGCCACCTCCCAGCCAGATATTCTACATTCTTTTAATTTGCCGAAAAACATGCGCTGGATGGTAAGTCTGGGTCTTCCTCTTGTTCTTTTACCATCAGGGGCCCGTGTAAGCGCAACAGATATAATTTTTTCTTTGAGCATTCTAAGGATATATGTCCGAGCCAACTCCATCTTTGTTTTTTAATTTCATCTTCTATTGTTTTTATTTTATCCCTCTTTTATAGATTTTGACTTGATACTTTATAAGGCCAGAAAATTTTAAAAATAAATCTTAAACATTTGTTTTGAAAGGTTTCTAATTTTTGTATTTCAATCTTAGTCTGTTTCCAGGTTTCTGCGCCTTATAATAGTACTGCTCTAACAATACCTTTGTAAACAACTATTTTTGTCTTTATTTCAATATTTGACTCTCTTCAAAATTTATGTTATCCCTTAAAACATGTTCTTGCTTTGATTATTCTCTGTCTAATATCTTCACTACTTCCACCTTTTTTTATCTGCAATAGAACCTAAATAGCTTAATGACTCTATGTCATCTATTTCGTGATTTTTGATTTTAATTTTGTCATTTTAGTTTTGATTTATTCTCATTACTTTAGTTTTCTTCTTGTTTATGAATAAACCTACACTATTTGAATATTTGTTGAATTTGTCTGTTTTAAGCTGGAAGTCTGTACATTTGGATGAAATAAGTGTGATGTCATCAGCAAAATCAAGGTCTTCTAAAGTAGTTGTGAAATTTCACCTTATTCCCCTTTTTTCTTCTTTCAAGCTGTTTCGCATAATCCAGTCTATCACGAGTATAAATAAAAATCCTGATAAAACACATCCCTGTCTCATGCCAGTTTTTACCAAAAAGAATTCAGTTAATTCTCCATTTACTTCTATGCATGCTTTGCTGTTATCATACATATCTTTGATTATGTTAATATATTTCTCTGGTATATTATAAAGTGATAAAATTTCTCTCTCTTAACTGAATCAAAGGCTTTACTGAAATCAATAAAGTTTAAATATAAAGAGGTGTTAAATTCTAAGCTTTGCTCAATGATATTTCTAAGTGTGAAGATTTGCTGCATTGTTCCACTTCCACTGCGGAAACCTGCTTGTTCTTCTCTTAAAATTCCATAAATNCATTCGTTGGTGCATACACTTGAATAATTGATAGTTTAATGTATTTTGAATAAAATCGTGGTCTTAAAATTCTTTCACTGATTAATTCCCATTCCAAATGACTCTTCGCTGTTTCTTTATTAATGATTAGCGCCACACCTCTTTCGTGCTTTTCTTCAGCTCCTGAGTACAAAATGTTTTGTTCATTTCCAGTTTTAGCATGCCAAAACCTGTCCATCTTAGTTCTGATATTCCCAAGATATCCAATTAGTATCTATCCATTTCCATTGACACCTGTCTGCTTTTTCCACATTGGTACATAGTTCTTACATTCCAAGCACCAATTCGTAACTTGTATTTAGGTTTCATCAATGACTTCTTCCGCATTGAAGGTTCCAAATGGTTTTCCCTTCGACACTTCATAGGCATGATTTCCTCATTCCAGGTTAGATAACTGTCATTTGGGATTTCACAAGTCATTGCTTCCGCCAAGAGAATTTGTCCCGATATGCTTTTGGTTTCTGTAGTCAGGGATGTTTTACGGGGTAGAGGGACTAGCCCTACGCCCAACCCTCCTTCTTCATCCAGGCTTGGGACTGGCGCACGGAATAGCCGAAGCTATTCATGTGGCGGAGTTATATCACCCATCATATTAGAATAAAATATTATTACGTGTTTCATTAAAAAAAAATTACATAGTTATTTAAGTAAACACACCACTTTTGTTATTTTAAATTATATATGTTTGTCATTATTAAAAATATCTTGTAAAAAGATATTAGTGCAGGAGAGTTTTATCGCAGATGGTTTGAAAAAGTTCTGCCTCAGGGATGTTAAGAAACATCTATTTACTCCCTTTAAATTGAGATGATTTGTTTAATATTTTTAGAGACATTTTTATTTCAGTTTTAGAAACTGATTAAAAATTTAATGTTTACAAACTATCTGTTCATGATCAACTTAAGTTTATTTGTTCATGATCAACTTAAGTTTATTTGTTCATGATCAACTAGCTAGTTTAAGCTGTTGATGAACTTTCTTTTAATATCATTAAAAACTGGAAAAAACTATTAAATTTAGTTCAGACTGGTAGAGTACACTGGTAGACTGGGAAATATGAAGAACAAATCTAATAGAAATTAAAGAATAAATTTCAAAATTCTATTTATTATGAATTGTTTTCTGAGGTGGGGGCTTAGCTAAGTCTTGTATGATAGGGATATTTTTTTACTTCTGTGATGCCTTAACATATCTAATGCTCAAAATTTTCTAATGAAATAGTTAAAAAATAATTTACTTGTTTGACTACAGAGGAGATTTCTGTATCGTGATCTGTGGCAGAATAATTGTCAAGTCTTGGCAACTTCTGGACAGCGGCTCGCAAGAAACTAACCAAAAACATCACAGATCAGGACCAACTCGAAGGGTATAACTCGTAGTCACTCCCACATGGGGATATTTCCATATTGTGGTCTATCTCGCTAACTACAATCGCCAAGGTGCCAAATAGACTTTAAAACTTTCAAATTTTTTGAAGAAAAAAAACATGTAGATGTTAGCCCAGGGGGGTGGTTAAGAGTTGGTCCCTTTCTGTGATGTTATGTTTTAGTTTCTGGTAGGCTACTGCACGGAAGTTTCCAAGACTTGGCAATTATTCTGCCGCAGGTAACAATACAAAAATCTCCCCCCCCCCAGACAAACATCTCTCTCTCTATATATATATTTTTAAAGAAAATTTGCAAGTTTATAAACTATTTGGCACCTTGGCGATTGAAGTTGGTGCAACAGATCACGATAAGGAAATATCCCCTGATTACAGCCCTACATATTGATTGCAACACTGAAAACAAAATTTCTATTGAATTTCATCATTGAAAGTGAAGATTGATGGGGGAAATAACAATATTGCATATTATACAATCAAAGTTACCGAAATAGTATAATGGTTAAACTTAGTCAGTGTATTTAAAGGTATACATGAGTTTTCACACAAATTTCTGCCTTCAAATTTCAGTTTTTTCATGGAAAACAGTTTCCTTGACAAAATAAATATATCTGTGCCCAAAAGAAAATCAATTTTGGAAGGTATTCCTAACCGTTGTTGAGCAGTTGACCTGATTTTGGGTTTACAACTACTAATGCTCAACTCTTTGACCTTGTCATTTTGAACCCAATCCAGAAGACAAAGGAAATTCTGGGTGAAGTATTGAGATAAATTTGCCTTCGTGGTGCACTTTTTGATAGAACTAACCTGCACTTTGATAGAACTAACCTGCACTTGCAAGGAGAGGAAAACCTTTGAAGTGACAAGCCATCTCTGGGATTCGAACCTGATTCACCTCATTGTAGAACACTCTGTCCCCTGAACCACCCTGGAAAATTAATTGTAAAAAAATACATACCCATAAGTTTTATTACTTACACCAAATTTAGAATGTTGTTCATTAAAATAATTTTTTTCATTCCCTTACAGGAATGGTGGTGTAATACCTCATATTGCTGTTCACTTTCATCGGGAAAATATCGAAAGTGTGGTATCTTCTTCATTAGCAAAAAGTGGACTTTCTTTAGAAGTAAGTTTCTTTGCTTAATTGTATGTATAATTTCAATCATAGGCGTAATGAGATGTTTGTAGATTTCTTTTCAGAGAATTCTNTAATGATTCGACAGGGTGCGTAGTGTTTGTAAAAAGTACTTAAAAGTGCTTTTTTGGGGATTTCGTTTTTAAAAGCTTTTAAAGGTGCTTTTTTCAGCTGGCGTTTATAAAAAGTGCTTTTTTCCGAATAATTTCTTTTCTCCTTTCAGTGATATCTTGTGGATCCCATGCATTTCACGAAAAGTGGGAAGTTTGCTATGTAATCATTCACGTGGACTTCATGTCGTATACACGTTATGACTTGCGCATGCGCGCACGCTTGAAACCGAAACCGGAGTGCTCCAGTTCGGATAGAGAATATCAGATCCTTATGGAATGTTTTTCTTTTTAATTTATTTTAAGTTAATGATGTTAATG